CCCCCCATTGTTTTTCTATTCTTATTTCCTTTGGCATTTTTCCTCATTTATCAAAGAACACCGCAAAACCAATAAATTACATTCGACTTTGATGAGCTAATCATCTAATGATAACTATAAATGTGTTGCAAATAAACTTTCTAACAGAAGCGACTCAGAAGTCAATCATATCAGTCACTTTATTTTTTTAAAGAGATTAAGTCTACTGAGTAACTGTAGTCAATCATTTATCTCAACTATTAGATTATCCCAAACACTCTCGTAACAGATATTCTATATTAATTAAAATTTTAAATTATAGGCATCATTAGTAAAAGTATTACTATCAAACCAATTAAGACTAGAAAAATCAATTAAAATTGTGATATACTTATTAAGAGTGTGTTTATGTGTTTCCAAAAAACTCAGAGATCCTACTTAGATTTGACTTGGAGCATTCATCCAGTTATGGCCAATTATGCAATACTACGTTCTGACCACACTATCACTCACGAATGCTTTTGGAATACTGTTTAGGAAATGATAATGCCCGTGGAAATTAATTATAGGTCCAGTGTTTTGATTAGTTTTCTATATATTAATAGAATCAATTTTATTCAACTGAAATATAAAAATGTTGTAAAAAGAATGAAAGTGACAAATATAAAAACTAACGGATATTGCAGCCTTAGCACCAGCGCCTACAGCAGGCATATGATCCCGAAATAGTTCGCATATACGAGCCTGTCCTGGCGATAGGCCTTGCAAGGTTAAGCAAGTTGGTCGAGCATTACTTCCAGCTAGCAGATTTGCTGTGCTTAGTTGGGCAACTGAAGACCTATAATTAACGTAAAGAAAATCTTCTGGTTTTAAGCAAAATGTTTTTAAAATTATTTAATTTTAAATTAGAACATAAAACATATAAATCTACGGCAGCAGGAATCGAAATTGGTAGAAATTTTTCGATAAAAATTTCCAATTTAATAGTATTATTAAAATCAAACAAATGAGTGTAAGCATTATTCATGCTCAAGCGATGTGTCCGCCATTGGTGGCACAACTGCACGGCAGACTAAGCAGGAAGTTCATGATGTCCACCACATCGACCTACCATCTGGTTAGACTTGCGGCGATGCATCAAACACTCGCACATAAGTCATTTTTATTGTGGAATAATTTTTTGGACTTACACAATTTTCACTTTTTTTGGGTGGCATGTCAAAATGTCTTATATTCAAAATACTATCAATTATTTAAGTCTCCTAGTTATTAATTTATTTTCATAAGGTTTTATAAATTTATTGCATCTTTAAAACTTTGAAGTGAAATTAAAAATGATAGCTTCAAAAGAAAATTCAAACTAACCACCATGAAGCATCTATAACAGCACTGACAATTAGTAAGGAGGGGAATAAGAGAAGCCAGTAAATCAATAATAAGTAATGAATAGTTCGCATCTGAAAGTTTTTGCATTTCAGATTTGAACTGACTGTTTGAGCAATACGAATAGTATACAAGTTATTAGGCTATCGCACGGATAAATTAAAAAATGAATAAACTACGTCAAACACAATGAAGTAATTCTTCATTAATTAAACTTAACAAATGATAATCAAGGATATTCAACGAAATATTCAACCATTTTATATTTTAAATCTAATCAAGCTATTAAAATTTTGACGGTTTGATTGAAAAAAATTACTGAAAAAAAACATTATGCGGATGATAATTATTCAAAACAACTGGACAGTCATGTTAATTGGTTTCCACCAAAAAATTATGAGCTTTGAACTAACTTTAAGTTGTACTTTCGATGCTCTTTTTTTTCATTTAATATCAATAAATTTTGAATGTTTCCACTTCATACCTAATTTTAGCAAATTTCCTCACTTAGAAAAATAACTATTTTCATACCAATTCTAATTGTCTCTATTGGAAAAATCAGTGAAAAGTTTGAAATTGTAGGGAGAAAATTAAAGTCATAATTAACATTACCGCTTTGAAATCAGTAGTCGTAATAAATCAAAATGTTCACTATTTAAACGAATTTTGAACATTCGATAGAAAAATCAAAATTATTACTGCCAACAGTAACAATTTAAAGTTGAGATAATAAGTTCATAGTTCCTTTTGCGGTAAGTATTCAAAAATTGCAATACAAACAGAAATGAGCGTAAACTGAAAATGAGAAAGCTTAATATAAAAATAGT